ACAAACTGGAACGTGTCCAGAGGAGGGCAACCAAAATGGTCAAAGGCCTGGAAACGATGCCTTATGAGGAACGGCTAAGGAGCTGGGCATGTTTAGCCTGGAGAAGAGGAGGTTAAGGGGTGATATGATAGCCATGTTCAAATATATAAAAGGATGTCACATAGAGGAGGGAGAAAGGTTGTTTTCTGCTGCTCCAGAGAAGCGGACACGGAGCAATGGATCCAAACTACAAGAAAGAAGATTCCACCTAAACATTAGGAAGAACTTCCTGACAGTAAGAGCTGTTCGACAGTGGAATTTGCTGCCAAGGAGTGTGGTAGAGTCTCCTTCTTTGGAGGTCTTTAAGCAGAGGCTTGACAACCATATGTCAGGAGTGCTCTGATGGTGTTTCCTGCTTGGCAGGGGGTTGGACTCGATGGCCCTTGTGGTCTCTTCCAACTCTATGATTCTAAAAATCAACCATGTTAAGCCAGGTTGAACAGCCTGGGGTAAATCTAATCTGTGAAAAAGGTTGTTCTAGGTGGTTGTTCTTGTGGTTGTTGTTGTTCTTTAAATACTGTAGTCATTACAGTAAATAACTTGGAATAACTGAAATAATAATTTAATCATGGCAAGGTACCTTTCCTGGCAGACTGCTGACATTTAACAGTAAGTGTGTTGGGGGGGAGGGACTCAAAATAAAACTCCAAGGTTCTTAATTAAACTGAAAACCAGTGAATATGCATCATTGCCAGTTGCCAAGAAAATTTTCATCTGACTGGCACCAGGAAGATATTAAACTGAGTATAAATTTAAGATTAATAACCAGTCTCCAGAATGAGCTCAGACACACTAAAAGATAACACTCTATTTGTCAGTTTCCTGTCCTTTGCAGTGTCATCTCTATTATTGCACATTGTCGTCTCCAAATGTTTTATGCCATTACATATATTTTCAAGTCAAACAAAATAGCAGTAGCAGACCCAAATCTTTTCTGATCTAAGTAGTTCAGTATGAACACTAAACTCAAGCCATTGACTTTAGTGCTATGGCCCTTAAATAAGGAGATTATGGTACCTTTTCTCTAGGCTTCTGGTAACTTAATAACGAAATAGTTCAATGGGTATTGAATGCTGCAAGATATCTGATTAAAAGAGCAAAGGTGGTTGGTGGATACTAGCTACTAAACATATCCCATTTATCTGGGTGGGGACTAGTCAGATATCTGGGTTTTTAGATTACTCCCAAGAAGAAGCCTTCAAGGGCTCAAAGGACAAGTTTGTCGGTGGGGGCAGGCGCTGGCTGGCTAGTGCAATCTGTCAACTTCCTCTTGTTCAGCATGTACATTTGTAAATAAAGAGGCACCATAAAACACTCAGTCTCTGGTACATTCTCTTCACACAGTAACTGATGGTAACAGGTAGCCTCTGAAATCTCCTACTGCTTAAGTAAATGGGAAGGGTAAAACAACAGTAATTATCTCTAATTAGAGGTCTATAGCAGGTACTGTAATTTAAGAATCACATGAAATTAAGTCATTAAAATGTAACTTCTCCCAGCTTTTAATATGGAAATATATGACCTATATAAACTGCCTGAAACTATAAATGTGAGTTGTTTTTCCCATTTTCATTATTTATAATTTCCAGGTTAAAACAACAACATCATTCTATTTCCTTAACTGAAAACATCTTGACAACATTGAAGTTGTTTCACTATAAATAAAGGACTAATTAAAATTAAAATTAAATTAATTAAAATCAAAATCCATGCTCTCTCTTGTCCAGATGCTTTAATTGAATCCCACCCAATATATGTATATAACAATAAGACTAGGCATATAAAGCTGACGTAATGATGTTATGCTTAAGACCAGTGCTATTTTTCTAGAAAATGAGGTGCCGGAACTCACTATGAACTTATAATAGCAATGGCAACCACCTGAGATGTGCTGGAACTGAGTTCTGGCTTTAAAAAAGCCCTGCTAAAGACTTGTCAAAAGTAAATGTGGATTTTACTTTAAGTGATATTCAACTTAGGTTAGACCCTTTGAAAATAATGGACTTTAGTTACTTGTCCATTGCTTTTAATGTGTCTCTTGATTATGGCTAACATTGGCTATCACCCCTTATCTAGAAGAAATATATGTGTCTCTTTGTTTAGCTTAACATCATAAGAAACTTTAGGGGGGATAAATTAGTTAAAATATACAAATTAACTAATAAAATATACTATTAAGTGCTTAGGATTTTCAAGAAACATTAAAATAGTTTGATTGTATTCTGAATTGAGCTGAGTTATTTTCTTCATGTGATAGGATTATCAGAGACTGTAACTATGATGTGGGGTTTGAACATACATGCTTTCTACCATCTGAAGCTCTCTTGCTTGTACCTACTAACTGGCAGGATCTTACACAAGTTCCTGTTAGACAGGGAACCTAGACAATGCTCTTCTATTTGAAGTATTGAAATTTAAAATCTAAGCTTTGATTTGTTTATTTGAGATGTTTATTAATAAAAATAGGAAAAGAACTCAATACTTTGTACTTTAATTACCCAAACAAAAAATGAACCCACTAAATTAATAGGTGTACTCTGTGTTGAAATGTAGTAATCAGGTTTGTTGGTTGCTCAAATCTTTCTAAAGGCTAACTCTATAAACTGATAACACTACAAAAGTTTAAATTCACAATAGTTTCAGACAGGAGCACATTCGACTGACTGGCAGTGGCTCTCCAGGGTTGCAGACAGAAGTCTCTCCCAATCCTGGCTAGAGATGCCAAGTTATTGAACTTTAGGCACTTTGCATGCAAAACGTGTGCTCTAGCACTGAGCTACAGTCCTTTCCCATCCATTCAAACTAAGTCACAGAATCCATGGAAATGTTTTAGATGTTAGATTTGCATCCTGGCCTAACCCTAAATCTGACATTTGAAAAGCAGAATTGAAAGGAAAAGAGAGTGTGTTATCTGAATAATTAAAAAACAAAAACAAAACTGCATTCCCAAAACCAGATTCTGTACATTCACCCACAGATGCTGTGGCCGGACTGGCTTTGCTCTTGCTGAGATGGCACACAGGCTCAAAACACCTACGGGCCTTCTGGTTGAGGGATGTGGCTAAGCCTTCTTCCCTGTGACCCTTGGAGGCCCTGATACAGAGAGGGGGAAGGAACAGGACCTCTTACAACTTTCCCTTTGACTCTCAGGGTCACTATACAAGCAGAATCAAGGCGATACTGAAGGCAAAACTTCCTGGACTGCACCATGTCAGATAGTAGTCATGATGAGTTTTATATCTGAATATTATCCTTGCCAGGAAACAACAACACAAAGCTGCACAGAGAAAAAGAGCATGCAAGCGAGATATTTTTTAATGTTAGAAGCGGTGGAGCAGTTTCTTTTTGCATCAGGAGACATTATCTGAAGTATCTGAAGAAGTGTGCATGCACACAAAAGCTTATACCAAGAACAAACTTAGTTGGTCTCTAAGCTGCTACTGGACAATTTATATAAATATATATTTAATATTATAACATGCAGCCCCCCTCATCACCTACAGCCGGAGGAAGGGGCAGCATGTCCTATTTCACTGCTTGAGGTGAAACAGGAAGTGCTGCCTTGCTCTGCTGCTGACAGTCCAGGAAAAAATCACTTGAATCTGCTGATTGCATGCATTGGCCTACAGTGACTTCCTCTAGTGAATTAACACTACTGAGATTGTAGAATCACAAACCATAGGTGTATCTCAAAGAGCTAAATACACAGAAACATAGCCAGGCCATTACCAGGAAGTGCCCTACCCTGCCTACAATGCTGTTTTCCCCCATCTAAGTTAAAAACAAAATAAAAGCAGGCTGTGACAGCACAATGCATAGTCTGCACCCTGAGAGGGAAGGCAAGCAAACCACCTAAACCAGCCTCCACTTAATGGCTGAAGGATGTGGCTAAGCAGTCCTACTGCCAATCCTTAGAGGCCTAGAGAGACTGAAATGGGAAAAGGCATAGTTACTTGGTTGGAACACTAAAGAAGAGCCTTCCAACACTGCAACATTTTGTTGAAGGTCCCATTTGTTTCTTGGAAGCCCCATTGGGAAATGTGGCAGCTTCATCTGGTGAGGAAGGCTGTCTATGATGCTATTGATACCAATACCACTACATCCTCTACGTAAAAGCAGGAAAAAGTTTAGGTCATAGAAACAGTATCTCATGGAAATACTATATCTAGGCTGCGTCAACAAAAGTATAGTGTCCAGATCAAGGGAAGTAATAGTACCACTATTCTGCCTTGGTCAGACCACACCTGGAATACTGTGTCCAATTCTGGGCACCACAATTTAAGAAAGATGTTGACAAACTGGAACACGTGTGGAGGAAGGCAGCCAAGATGATTAAGGGTCTGGAAATAGCCTTATGAGGAATACTTGAAGGAGCTGGGTATATTTAGCCTGGAACAGAGGAGAGTGAGAGGAGATGTGAAAGCCATCTTCAAATATCTTAAGGGCTGTCACATGGAAGAGAGGGAGCATGCTTGTTTTTTCCTGCTCTGGAGGGTAGGGCTCAAACCAATGGCTTCGAGCTACAAGAAAGGAGATTCCAACTAAACATTCGGAAAAAAGCTTTCAGACAGTAAGAGCTGTTCAGCAGTAGAACAGACTCCCACAAGAGGTGGTGGACTCTCCTTCCTTGGAGGTTTTTAAACAGAGGTTGGATGGCCATCTGTCATGGATGTTTTAATTGAGGTTCCTGTTTTGCAGGGAGTTGTATGAGATGATCCTTGGGGTCTTCTTCCAGCTCTGTGATTCTATAACCAACCCATACTCTCAGCTGAACTGAGCTCCCTATGAAGTATCCATCTCCAAATTGGGAAGCTATAAATTCTCATCAGGAGGCTTCCTTGGAGTGTTTACCTTAAGTTCATCCTGGCCTAAGATTTCACACTTGGAGAATCATAGAATTGTGGAATTGGAAGGGACCATGAGGATCCTCTGGTCCAACCTCCTGCAATACATAAATATTTTGCCCAACGTGGGGCTCAAACCCACACCCCTGAGATTAAGAGTCTCATGCTCTACCAACTGAGCTATCAAACTTCAGCTCCCTAGTATAGCATGTGGGTGAAAAGGATTCAGGGCATTTTCTCGCTCATTGATTATTTTGGCTTTTGTATTTGTAAAAATTAAAATACTCTCATTTGATATGCTGGCAATATTTCTTCCTAGTAATTTCTTCAAAGGCTCACAATAACCCTGGCCTCACTAAATCACAGCTGGCAAGATTACTACATGAACAATTTACGGAAGGTAGAATTATATAACATTCTTGAAAGCAATTGCCTTATAATAGTTTATTTGCTAGGAAAGAGGAAACAAAGGACTCACAAAGTGAATACTTTCCAACAACTAATAAGTATTAAATATATACATACACTTACTTTAATCATGGAGTTAAGCACCTAATTAAGCAGAAAATGCAATTGCATTTTTAAATAGACTATCCCAAACTTCAGGCTCACACATTGTCCTCTCACTGCTCTTACCCTCTAAAAGCCATTATAATTTTTTTAAACACACAGACAATGAACTCTGACTCAGAGAAAGCAATTCTTTATGAATTATGCATCAGGGATACATATGGAAGTTTCCATGGTCAGGTGGTAGGAGAAGGCTGTTAAAGAAAGATAAAACAAGAAAAAAAAAATGTATTCTGGGCCACTTTTCTTTCAGAAAGTGATAGAAAGACGGACAGTTTCTGGATCAGTATGGTTTGATTGTGGAATTTATGTGAATAAGGAAACTAACGATGTAATGCTGCCATCTCAATATGCTACCCTGTGGAACTCATAATTCTTTATGCTCTAGTAACAGTAAGGAAGCTCATTATATTTATACTGTTCTTTGTAGAGGCTAAATCCTGTGTGATTCTTGCAGTGCCTGTTAGTCTCTGGACCTGAATTTTATTTATGTTTTAAGTTATGTTCTTTGCATAGCAAGATGAATAACCCAGATCTTAGTGGAAGCTAAACTATAGCAGAATGGAAACAGCACTGATTGCAGTGAATACAGGATGGGATGGAAATCGCTGCCTCTCAGCCACATCCTCATTCATTACACATGGAAGATGAACATTCATAGGTGATGGTGCCAATCAGGTGATGAGTGTGGAAAGGTCTACAGGAAGGAAACTGATGTGTGACACATACACCCCAACTGCTGCTAAGTCACTATGGTAGGAGTAAAAAGCCAGGGAGGTGTCTGTCCTCCAGGACTGGTCATAGTGTTAGGCAGAGTGAAGTGACCTCCACAGGCAGCTGACTTTTCGTATCCTAAAAGGGAAACAAATTATTAGTTGTTTGATTGTTACTGCAGTTTTCCTTCCAGACTGGGAGACGTTCTTGTGGATTTTCTGCCTCAGGTTCCAAAATATTTTAACAGATGCATCTTAGTTAGATGAAAACATCAACCTGGAGCAGCACAATGACTTGGGCCAGCCCTAGAATTCTTAAATTCTAGTTAGAGCAATCAAAATGATTCAAAGCACTGGTTGATAATACTGTGCACATACTCAAGGCATAACGTTCTAAAGGAGACCATTACTGCCAGCAGAAATGCCTATACAATTGTGGTAAAAGCCACTATGTAGTAAACAAAAGACTTTTCTTCCTACAATTTGCCTTTGTTGTTGTATTTGCAGCTATAGTAGGTGTGGCAATGATGCTATTCTTCCTCGTTACTTTCCTTCTGGGCACCATCCTAATTTCCCAAAGATCACAACAACTAAGCTTTCTGAAGACTTGAAGAACCTTTAGTGCCATGGCAAGGTGGCTGCCTTGCATTGAATGGTATTTATTTCTGTGATGCCCTTTTAAAAATGAGGTACAGCTTATCAAATGTGAGCTTCCTTCAGCCTTCAAAAGGTGATTAAATAACTTCTCCTGTCTTGCTTTTTATATCACGCACCAGTTTATATATCCACATGGGATTTTGTTTATAATTTTATTACAAAGAAATGTCACCAATTTGAAAGCTTCCCAAGCTCTGGCAATTGAAACCCAGGCTTTATTCCCCTTTCTGTTCAGTTCTTAGAACGGATTCTTTACAATTGTCTAAGTATGGCAAGATGCTAGACGATTGTTCATATAACTAATTCATTTCAAATTGTTCTAAATTGCAGTGCAATTTTCATTAATATGCTCCCAGTTTTAGAAGAGAAATAAAGGATTTATTGCCCTCTGTCATATTTCTCATTCCAATAAAAGTGATACAGTGGGAAGGAAAACAAATAACAACTGCCAGTTCAGAACAGGAAAGTCCAGCCTCTGTGAGGCTGCCATTACCATCTGCCCTGATCACTGGCAGTGAGGGGGGTGGGTGGAGTTGCTATAAAGTGAAGTGGATTTTGTACGTTCTTGATGGGTTTGGGGAAGCGAGACGCATGGGTTTGTGTCCAATGTTCTCTGGTAGGATAAGGGCTCTTGTGGTAGCAGACATGTGCTTGAATGTTCAGCAACAGAGCAGTCCAATGCAACAGTTGATCTCATTGTGCAACAAAGTTACCAGAAATCTGCTTATGCATTCTCTTGTGCAACAATGCTTCACTGGCATAAAACAGTTCACCAGTGGGATGAGTATATTGTTAAGTGACTTAAGCGTAGCACTACATTGGGTGCAACCCTTGATGCTGTTTCAAGACCTTGGAGATATTTATAGGACCTCTTCACAAAAGCAAGCATCACTTCCTCTCTGTTGCCTTCTTCAGTACATTTTTGGGCTTTTCCTTATGTTATATGGTATATAGAGTAGGTAGATTGTACAATGATTCTCACCTTCATCTGTGTTACTTGTATGATGCTGAACTTAGTTCTCACTATAATTTGGAGGCTTTTATTGTCTCACAGAGTGCATTATAGAAATTGAACTCAAGGGAGAGAAATAATTCTTAAGAGAAATTATTCATTTGTTAAATCAGCACAAAGTTGCATTTTCTTCTAACACTCCAGTTTGTTTTCTAAAAACCTGCCCTACTTCCCCAATTAAACATCGTATTCTGATTTCTATTCCCCAGTCAGTCTCAACAGTCAACAGTCTCAATCTATATAGCACTAGCTATTTCCTAACAACTGCTACTATTAGGCTAGTGCCCAGGCTTGACTCAACTGGGATGAATTTAAAACACTACAGGGAAGCAATTCAGAATCAAGAAAACTACTGGGGAAAGATTGTGTTGCTGCTGACCTAATTTAGCTGACTTTATTTCAGAATGGGTAAGGAAAAACAGTCTTACAGTTCAATCCTATGCTATCCTAAGAGCAAGTCTCACTCTTCTCAATGTGCTTAGGCTCAAGTTAGTATAATGCAGCATTACCAACAGTGCAAGCCTAACAACTTCCTAAGTGGTAGATGTATTAGACAATACAGCCAACATAAAATCTTGTGGCATCTTACAAATTAACATTATCATGTAAACTGAATGACTGGGATCATTCCATTAAAGCTTCAATGTATGTAAAGCAAGCATATTGACTAGAACAGAAGTAACTGTTAAAATAGACCTCCAAGCATGTTTATTCAGAAGTAAGTCCAATGGAATTTACTCCCTAGTAAGGTTGATTATAATTGCAGCTAGGGGGAGAATTCAGTTTGAATTTAAAGGCAAAGTTCCCTACCACACACTTTCCAAAACGGTACAAGAACAGAAACACAAGCATCCTTCAAAATTTACACTTCTACACCTTTTTGAAATGCAGTTCCCCAGCCAAGTAATGAGTACAAAAAATGCACATTTGGAGAAATATGAACTAAAATGTTGGTTAATTTTCATGAGAATTTATTATTACTTATTAATTTACATACAACTTAAAACTCTTTCTTTACACACCTGTGTACCCTACACACACACACACACACACACACACACACACACACAACTTGTGGACATCCAAAGAAACTGAATGTTGGAAGATTCAGGACAGATAAAACAAAGTACTTCTTTATGCAGTGCATAAACAGCGGAACTTGCTCCAACAGGAGACAGTGATGCTCACCTTGGATGGCTTTAAAAGAGGAATAGAAAAATGGACGGAGGAGAGGGCTGCTGGCCATGATGACTATACTCTGCTTCCACAGTTGAGGCAGCAATGCTTCTGAATACTAGTTGCTGGAAACCACAGTTGCAGAGAGTGCTCTTGTACTTGAATCCTGCTTGCTGGTTTCCCACAGGTTGGCCACTGTGAGAACAGGATGCTAGACTAAACAGCCTACTGGAATGAACCAGCAGGCTCTTCTTATGGTTAACTAAATTTATGTGGGATACATAATCAATTTTGAATATAAAGTATCTCTTCTGGTGTGCAAAATGTCAAGGAAGCTCACCCATTGGCCCATCTTCGCAAACAACCAACAGGCTTCACCTTCACTGTCTCGTGCCTTGTATTCTTTGACTGCTTAAAAGTTACCAGCATGGTGTAGTGGTTAAGAGCGGTGGACTTGTAATCTGGTGAACCGGGTTCGCGTCTCCGCTCCTCCACATGCAGCTGCTGGGTGACCTTGGGCTAGTCACACTTCTCTGAAGTCTCTCAGCCTCACTCACCTCACAGAGTGTTTGTTGTGGGGGAGGAAGGGAAAGGAGAATGTTAGCCGCTTTGAGACTCCTTAAGGGGAGTGAAAGGCGGGATATCAAGTCCAAACTCCTCCTCCTCCTCCTCCTCCTCCTCCTCCTCCTCTTCTTCTTCTTCTTCTTCTTCGAGAACAGTTGAGGGCATATGCATTTAATCCACTTAAAAGGTCTGCAATTGAAATTAGTGGGGATGGGGAAAACGAACATTTCCCATCCTTTCTGCTATATGGTCCAGGCTGCTCAAAGGATGTAAATAAAGTTATATAATCCTCCCCGAGTCCCGGGAACAGGAAAGGATACACATCCAATTAGATAAAATACATTAAAAAGAAGTACAACCATCAGTTCTGGCACAGACTAGGTCTCTGCACAACAGAGGTAAAAGACTGTATAGATTAGGGAGTGAATCTTTGTCCACTGATTCTACAATCATTTAAAACTAATGGACTCAGCATGACCTTTGCTGTAGAATATAATATGCAA